CTTTTTTTGACATAAATAGCACAAATTGATATATGTCAAACCGCCATTTTGGGGCAAACAAGAATATTGATTGGTCCAAAAAATCCCTAAAATTCCTAGAGATTGATAAATATAGCAATTTATGGCGGTTCTGGAGCAAAATCGCTACTGTCACATTGAAATGTAAATTTGAATATTCAATATTTTTACGCAATTTAATTTATTCATATTTTTAACGTTTTTTTACGTAATAACACAGGATTTTGGCAGACGCAAACTTATTTGTCTCGATTTGTACTTCATGTTTTAATGCGACGTAAAAAACCGAATTTAACATCAAATTGTGACATCAAAAAATAGTTTCTTGGACAAAATTAAAGTTTTTGAAAAAATGCTAATCATTGTTACAGGCGTATGATATGTACTAGATTTAGTTTGAATTTGCCCTTATTTTCAAAGGTAGTACTATCACATACTCTAAGGTCCTTAAATATGGCTCAATTTTTGCAGTTTGATGATGCGACTACTCTTGACAAAATTTGTGAACAGTACGGGACCTTCAGTTTTTCGCAAAATTCGTAGATTGACTTTAGTGATGTGTTTCCGAGTGGTGGTTTGGGATATGTAAGGCTTCGAGGAGACAGTTCTAGGGTCGTCGCGCTCGGGGGGCGTAAGGAAAGCGCGGGCCCCAACGAGACAACAAAGTATTAGATACTAGTACAACAATTGTAGAATGTGATAAATATCCGAGGTGTTAGGGACGGGCCGTATGTCCGTCAGAGAAGAGGGATAAAATCTAACTGAATCACAGTAACACTGGAAATGTCTCGCATTCGGGCAGATCACGATCATAGTAGTAGCAGTAGAACTGAGTGGTGACTGAAGAGACCGAAGAATAAGTGATGGTGGGTGATATGACGATGAAGATATGTCATCGGAGAGGGTAGGTACATGCCTGCCAAGACAAGTAGTAAATATAGGCGTATAAAAACTACGTATGGGCTCTGTGGGGATTTGTACTTTCGGTTCGAGTAGCTTTAGGCCATCAGCGGGGCGGTGGCTCACTGGAGGCGCGGCGGCGGCTGCTGCTGCTGGGTGGGGGAGGCGCTGAGCACGCTCTTGATGGCCGTGGTCTTGAGCAGACGCTTGAGCATACCGCTGGAGCCCCGGTGCTGGAGGCTCTTATGCGTGGTGAGCGAGTTCTTGGTGCGGTAGCGCCGGTGGCAGAACTCGCACACGTACAGCGTGTCGGACTGCTCGTGCTTGTCCTGGAAGTGCCTCTTGAGCGAGTAGTAGCAGCTGAAGGTGCGGCGGCAGTAGGGGCACTCCTGCGGCTCGTTGATGCCCCCGGAGGTGGGTGGCGGCATTCGCACCGGTCCTGCAACAGCAGCACAGGGCTGTGGTGGAGGTGGCGTAGTCGGTGGGGACAACAACTGGGGCGAGCATGCAGGCTGATGGCAGCAAGCGGCACAACTCATAACTACACAGACAGCGGCGGTAGCGGCAAGCGGGGTAAGACGGGGGCAATGGATGGTACCTGGGAGCGTGGTCGTAGGCGGCGTAGGCTGGGGCAGGTGCTCTGGCTAAAAGAACTTTATGTCGATGTCCCCGGGGCGCGACTTGTGGTACGTGTAGATGTGCGTCATGAGCGAGTTCCGGGAGCAGTACACGCGCTCACAGATGACGCACCGGTACTCCTCCTGCCGCTCTGCGTGCTTGTCGGCGATGTGTCGCTTCAGGGACGCTTTTGAGCACAGCACCTTACCGCACAGCTGGCACGTGAACACCTTCTTGGGCGACGCCCCTGCAACAGCAAAACCAAGCTCGCTCTGGTCTAGTCCGCGCGTGTTGCCACCAGCAGACACGTCTTTCTCTCTTTTTTCAATCATCTACTACTTTTTTTTTTTTGAATCATTTACCCGCGCCATCTTACTGACCGCACACTCGCGATCTGCCCACGCGAACTCAGTATTACTGCTCGCAGTTAGGTACAGCACACAGACATCGCACACCGAACCTAGAAACCGACGGCGCGCCCCACTGCCGCCGCCGCTGCCTCTCAGAGCGTCTTTTCTAGGCCGCCACCGAAATGATCTGCGATATATGTCCAGGAACTAGCGACAGAAAATTTTTTAATGCCAAATTGACTTTAAAACCGCTTTCTGGCAAGGTACGCGCGAACCAACATTTGACAGGATGGGATCAATTAAGTAAAAAAGCGACTAAAATAATGGAAGCTGATTTTATTTTTTATGAAACATGGATATCACTCCCAAAAAGGTTTGTCTGAAACATTCGATTTTACTTAAAACGCTGAATTTTCTCGGCGTACCTGCTAAGGTGGCAGATATACTTTGACCTGTTTGTAGAGTGACGGACAAACTTTTTTAGGCATTTTATGATGCCTAATATCGCTAATGAAAAAGAGTGTTCACTAATTCAATGAAATGGGTCAACCAAATCTGTCGCTAGCTTCCGGAACATAATTTAGAGCTCGGGATGCTCGGCTCGTAACAGAGACGCACTCGGTTCACTTTCCCAGTTCATAGCGGTCGAGACTGTTATATGCCAAGTCGCCATCTATATTCAAATAATGTTAACTATTTGTCGAGGACACAAATTAATTGAAATGAAGCAAACAGAAATTATTTCAAATGTGGCTTGATCTAACACCGGAGGCAAAAGTTGTAAGGACATAGGTATTCCAGGAGATGTAATGTTTTATTATGTTTGTGTACAAATTATAAACTCTATGAAATCCAAAGTATGCTTTAATTATAAACTTTGCCGAGAAAGTGTTTTTTCTCTTAAATTTAACGTGTTTACATGTACATGGATATTCAACAAAACATTCTACTCCCATTATCTTTCTTGACCTTCCCTCTAGAAGAAAATGGTAAAGACCAAATTTTTAGGAAGTTTTTTTTTAATGGAAAACTTTGTACGCTTGTCGTTTATTGCATTCCCCTCTTCTTTAATAATTACTTGGAATATATGGCCTTTGTCTTTAATGATTTTATACTAAGATATTTGGTACCATAGTAAATATTTGACATGTATAAATCACTGTAATTTGGAAAAGAAGAGGAATCTAAAAACGATAAATATGGAATATTCCATGAAAGAAAACCAAAACTTTGTTTATATATCTTCACCGGTTCTTTTCTAGACAGTATGATGGGGTGGAATGTTATGTAAATACCCACTGTACATTAGTCACCGATTCTGGTTCCGTTACGAGCCGAGCGTCCTTGAACTCTAATTATAACTAGTTTCCAATCATTCGAAATCCATTGATGATTTCAAAAATGTAATAATCGGGAAGAAAACAGGCGGTGGTAAGAGTTACAGGCGAGAGTGTTTGAATTAGGAGCGCTAGTGAGCTGCCAAAGAAGGTGTTCCACGTGTGGGTACTATGCGTAACCTAGAGAGTAGTAACCATGAAGCGGGGGCTTCCGAAGATGCTTCACCTTTAGAAAAGACTCTGAGTGTGCGGCACGGCATAGGTGGCGTCGGTATCAGTTTCAGTGTCAAGAAAAAGTTTCTGTTCTCTCCTGGTGGCAACACTGCAGTGTTGAGAGGGTATTGGTAAAACAGACATACATATAATGGGGATGTAGGCATTACTATTCAAGCAAAATAAAACCCAAGCTGCTTTTGCAAATGTAAAAATATATTTAAACATAAATAAAGGTTATACAACAGTATATAAAATATGATAAATATTGCATCAAACAACATAAAACATGCTTATAATGCAAAAAACTAATAAGTTACTACACAGGACCAAAAAATTTAAATATTCATTAAAATAAAATCGGGGTTGCCAATCTTTTTCTCCCTTACCGAAAAACACAAAAATAACAAAATCAGTCAAAAATATCATCAGTCTTAAAAAAATACCGCGAAATAAGTATTCTAATTTCAGTCTTCAAAAAACTAAGTCCTGTCTCTCGTACAACAATTTAATAATTTATAAAATACGAAAAATAAGATGCTCAGCACAGATAAAAACTAGGTACTTATCAAAAAAGAAAAAACAACATATATTATAAAGCCTCCAAAATGTATCAGTACAAAACATGTAGCACGTAAAGCAGAGTGATAATCTAAAACAAATTCACATAACAACCAATAAAATATCGACTATCATCAACAAAATTATATAGCACCTAGGGGGGGCGACCTCAGTGAAATTTCAACGACACAACGTCTTAAGAATCTCATACTAGGGCTGCTCAATCGCAAGTTTTTCTTATTTACGTTCTGTTTTTTAATCTTTTAGTTCGAACTAGAGATGTGCCGATAAGTTCAAATACGTACTTTTGTTATGATGTTAATAATACATATTCCAACAAAGTTAACAACGATCAAGGCGGTAAGCACGTGGCTGTAAAACTATTGGTCGAAAGGAATCGAAGATCATCCGTTCCAACCAATAGTTTTGCGGCCTATCACGCTTGTATCATGCTTTATCATTGTTTACTTCGTTGGAATATGTAAAGCGAACGATATTTGTATATTAATAATTCCTTTGGCACTATGATTCCGAATCACGATCAAATAATGGCTAATCGCCTGATCAAATTTTTAAAATTGCACTGCAGTTCTAGTTCTAAATCGTGATCAGGAAATGACAGCTAAAAGAAGTCGTTAATAATGTATAATTGCAGTACAATATGCACTATCAGCACTGTGATGCGTTGCCAGATAATATGAATTATTTATACTTATTTGTTCTGAATTTTCCACAAAAGAAATGAATCCGAAGATATTTTCGGCAACAGCTTAGAAATTAAATACAAAAGCTTGGTAGTTTTATAACGAGCGTTCAAATAAAAACGTGGTCGAAGTTGGCTCTGACACATTGGACGCAGGGCGTAGCTTATAGCGACCAACTTAACCTCATTTCTCAACGAGCTGTAAGGCAGCTGTCAGTTTCAATAACAAAGCGGCGATATAGCGCTTTGACAGATGACGTTTAAGTTCATTTGCTATACGCTACGCCCTACGTCCAAATTTTCAGAACCAACTTGACCACGTTTTTATTTGAACGCTCGTTATTACTGTTTTTTTAAAAGTATTTTAATAAGAGCCTTTAGAACCAATCAAACGTCCATCTCCAGTTCGAAACATCATAACCTAAAACTCGCGCGACAAACGTCTGTCAAATGTCAAGTGCAATGGAATAAAGTTAAAATTCAAACCCGCCGCGTTTCGAATAAACGGTATTCTCTCCAAGTTTTAAATATTGCAACCGCTCGACTAGATTTGGCCGAACTGAGGCTAGCCTCCCCCCAAGAGCGAATTTATTGCACATTTTTTTTTCGACACACCGCCGCGACCCCCACCCCGCTTTACGTGCTACGGAACGTCGTTTTATCTATGGCTTAAGCATTTAAATAATAAAAGATAAATAAAGATATATTATTCTATGTTCAAATATGTATATGTATAATATAAAAATCCCTTTCACCGATTATAATATAAAAAGGCTTCGAATCCTATAAGTGCAGGCCGTTTTACGTCCGCTCGTCACTGCGACGGCGTTACATTGCGGGAACTCATAAAATCTTTAGAAGTACGTCAACAGAAACATATCACAGAGCCAAAAATTACAGAAAGAATGTAACGGCCGGGAGCCAGCGACAAGTTTTAGTATCGGGACATGCCTGAAAGGTTAAAATATGAACTAACTACAAAAATAATGGAGAGGCTGGTTATTTCAACGACGTTCGCGCTTTGCTTATCCTATATCGTGTCCGTACAACAACTATCCACAAAAAGTCAGCGTTACAAAAATATTTCAGTACGTTTTTTTTTAATTTTGTTCCAGTCCAATCACAGCCAATTCGATAAAATAACTTCAGCGATATTTTTTTCGTTTGTTAATTCTCTCATCTTTCAATCCTCAGTTATTCGTTCGTGCTAAAAGTTACGTTAATACTTACAAATACTGTTTAAATTTTAAAAATTTTCTCGGGGAAACCACAACTTTTCTCGTTTGCAAAATGGATTTCTTTCTCCTAGTCTTCAAAACAAGCAGAACCTAATAATTTTATATTCAAATATTGAACTTCGGTTAAAATCGACGTATACAAATCTGATTTTTGTTACTTTGTTATTTTTATTACCCCATTATAATAGTTTACGTTACAGTTTGCCTCTTTTTGTGGCACTCGATCTGGCGGCGTAGATTGTGCTGCCCCCTACACGAAATCTTTAGTCTGGTATATCTAATGTTTACACCAATTTCAGGCATAACATAGCAAAGAAGCGACCAATCTGTTATCTGAGATAAATCCAATTGTTCGCAATTAATTTGACAAAATGTTCGACTAAATATAATGAATATTCAAATTTTGAAAAGCTTTTTACTTTACATTTTTTATTTAATTTCTGAAAAACCTAACTAGATCCATTTGGCACAAGAGACTAGTTATAATTTACTTTAAATAATCAAATAAAAATGGGGTATTTAAAATTTTTTAACTACATTATGTATATCACAAAATGAAAACAGGTTAAAAGAGATGAGAACCGTAGTTTGTTTATTATTTTAACCTCCTTTAAGACATGAAAAAATTAAAATATGCATCGTGACGTTATCGAGCGAAAACTAAAAGATTAACAAAGCTAACAGCTAGTTAATTTGTTATTTGGGCAAATATCGCCACACCTATCAAATGTTAATTCAACTAGTTAAAATAATATGGATTTAACTGGCTATATAAAGTAAAGTGACGTCAACAGAGGCGTAACTCCCACCCTTTTGTCGTTAAATGGCGATTTAGCATATTAATTTGACATTTGACGATTCTTTGATGTTTTGATTTTAATTGAATTTTCTTAAAATAAAGGATATTAGCCAAAAAGGTTCAATTTATCATAAGCTTCTGTACCAGTGGAGGCTTCGAGCATATACTACTGGAGGTAGTCTACCAACGGTTGGGACGCTACAAGGCAGATATAGCTGCTATATAGGTTGCTATCCCTCTCTTGCTGAATGTGATTGGCTGTCTCTGTCACGTATATGTAGAGGGAACCAGTTGTGAGTCAATCATGTTCGGCGAGAGAGAGATAGCATCTCGATCTCTAGCGATGGACGCGGAACCACTGACTATATAGAATCTTATCGCTAAGTTATGCCACCCCAACAGATATTTAGTGATTTTCCAAATTTTTCGCAAAATGACGTCATATTCTTCAAATAAAATTTCAAATTAAAATAAGTTACCGATTTAAAATAACTAATCTCTTTCCTTTGCAGTTGAACGAAACCACCCCATTGTGTAGTGTGTAGTGTTCAGCAACAAAAAGAAAAGGGAGCTTTTGTCATCTGTTTCATAATATTTTGCTGTTGAGAAGGTAAGTGTGCATGTATCTTCCACAAAACTACACCCTGAACCTGATCGAATACAAACAAATAACATAACCTCACTAGTGTCTAGAGGTACTGGATCCACTTTGCTTCGAGGCTCCCGCATGCGCCTTTCTTATGTGACTCAGGCCAGACGTAACTTGAATGGAATCAATTTTACGATTTTCTCGTGTGTTTATAAGAAACCTAACCTAACGCAATGTAAACGCCTGTCTGTCGACATAGAGATAGATCAGATTTGATTAACTTGTCTCGAAGGAAAGTGGACTCAATGTCTCTAGGCATTAGTTGTAACCTCACTTTGAGCTGTTGGTACGCCTGAAATTTAAGGCTAATTCAACCAACAGTATAACTGTGTCATTCACGATTATTTGACGACATCGATAAAAAGCTGTGCTTCCCCTCCCCGATCACAACATCTCCCGCGACTCGCGTCAGCACCAAAACCAGGTAAAAGTCCCCGACGGCCGTGCCTCCATTATTTTTGCAACGTACCATAAACATTACAATATATCTGTCTAAATATAAACATTATGATTCGACTGCTTGACGAAACTCGGACACATCGTTAGCGGGGGCGTAACAGGGTGGTGGTGGTTCACCGAACTACTACGCAAGAGCGGTGCTTAAGGCAACGTCTCCCGTCTCATTTCTGCCTCCTGTGGTAAATACTCCGGTGATTGTTAAGTGAATTTAGAGTCCGGAACACTTTCTGGCACAGGCTACAGACAGCGTTGTTGAGCGGCTGGAGGTGCTGCTGTTCCTTGTGGCGCTTCAGAGTTAGCTTGGTGCTAAGCAGCTTCCCACACACGTCGCACCGGTGGCTGGCACTCAGCGGCAGGGGGATACTGAGGCGGCGCGCTGTCCGACACACCGAGAACAAACATCCCCTATTAGGCCCCCGCTCATTATCAGTCAAGCAAGTCTTAAACTAGGGTGTGGGTCTTGGTTGTTTGGAATTGAGAGATATTACTGTTATAAAAAGGGATGGCGCGGTCATACCCAACGCATAGCCTCTGGCATCGGGGTGTGGACAAGCGGAAGGGGCCCGCCATTCGTAAATGTCAATCGGTAAAACAAAGTTAACTTGGCGTCTGTCAAATGTCAAAGGACAATGAGGTTATGTTTCCCTCTCAGGTTAGTCGACTCGTGTCCACAAAGCATAAACTATATTTAACCATATTAGTATAAAGTATGGGGGTATGGAAATTGTTTAGGGTTAAGTCCACTGCATGGCGTTGCTAGTTTTTTTTTGTAATTATAGTATTGACTACGGCGGAGCCACTGTATGATACTCAATGAGGTTGAACTTAACTATAACTAAGCAACGATTTGATTATGAATTGAACTGCGATTGTTGTCGTTTCTTAAGTCTATTCAATTTTAAACTATCATTACATTCAATGTGGTTAGAAAATACATAATTTGGAATTAAGAATTTGGGCGAAAAATGAGGTGATGCTGTCATAATATTCCATTCAAGCACTTGCACATATGTATGCGGTTGAATTGAACATCTTGAACGTAATGAACATTCTAAAAATGCAAAAGCTAAGTAAAAAAGTAGTTCATCCACCAGATGAGCTGAAACTTTCATACAAACTAGTAATTTCACCACATATAGTTTATGCTTTGTGCTCATATATTCTTGGTTAGTTGGTTAGTTACAAAAAATACAATTTCTGGAAGGTCTAAATTCTGATACTGACAGATGTAAACCTAAAAGTCGAAACAAATCTCAAATTTCGTTAATGAACCCGTCGTACATGTCGTCAAAGCATGCTTTTATAAATACATCGCGCCTAACCTCAATTTGTTTTTAAATGCTGTCAAAAAGAAAACCTCATTAAACAAATTAATATCGATTTAAATCGATAATGGCGCACGAAAATTTCAAAATAACTTCTAACTGTTAGGTATTCCGCGATAACGCCTTGTATATTTTGAAATTAAAAGCGGTTATTTCAACAAACGTAGAAAAATCTAGACTGCCTGCTGCTATAAAAGCCTTGGTCATGATTTTATACAGACTTAAACAGCAGCACAAGCAGTCTATATTTTTATAGGTCTGTGTGTTTACTTTAAGGGAACTTATTCCTTTTCTGAAAAAAAAAAAATGTGAAAGGGCGAAATTTTGAGATATAACACTACAACAACTATTGGTGAGGTACTTGTAAATTTTGCGAATCAACCCGTTCTAAAATAACGTAAAAGCATGCTTTTAAATGTAGTATTTTACACATAACCTCAATTTGAAACTAAATGTCACTGTCAAAAAGGTAACTTCGTTAAACAAGTGAATATCCATTTTAATCAATATGGCACACATGAATATTTAAGAATAACGTTACGTTTATTTTGAAATCAAAAACCTAGAAAAACCTAGACTGACTGCTGCTAAAGCCGTTTAATTGGGCATGGGTTTTAGGTCGCCATAATTAGGTTCTTGTCAGACTTTCAAATTTCCGTCAAATTTGTTTGATCAAAATAATTTGACATCAAAATTAGCTTTCATATTGTGAAATTAAAAATATGATAAATGTAACTTTGTCTCAAAGGCTATCAGTAAGCAAGCAGCAAGTGTCTATATTTTTAAAGGTTTGCGTGTTTCCTTTTAACTTTAACTTTGAGTTATAAGACTTTAAATTTCATTAACTAATCCATCTTAAAAGAACGTAAAATCAAATTTGTAACCGTTTAATGTTTCTCATATAATCTCGATTTATTTATAATTAAATATCGCTTTCAAAAATATAACCTCACTAAACAAAACAAGTGAATAATTTAGTCAACAAGGCACTCTTCAATGTGTAAGAATGAAGTTACATATATCTTGAAATAAAAATCGTTTCTATCACAAACCTAGAAAAAATTTAGTCATTGTTACCTGAGAAGTCGAAAAACATTTCAAATCCAAAAAAATTAGAACTACCTATCTGTTATACGTACGGATTTTTCGTTTACTTTAAGCTGATTCAGTATTGGATCTTCTAAACTGATCTTTAAATACTGCTAAATAGCCAGGAAGTGGTATATATTTCCTACAATTGATGTATTTTTTTTTGACTCTTATTAAAAAAAAAGTTGGAAGGTCTAAATTTTGATGTATAAAACTAAACGATTGAACTTTTTAAATTTTGTTTACGAACCCGTGTCTTAAAATGTCATGGTTCAAACTGTCAAATATCTAACCTCAATTTGTAATCAAATGTCAAAAAAAATAACCTCACTAAATAGAATAACTATCGGTTTTAATTAATATGGCACATGCGATATTTTTTCTTGCAGTTGCAGTGAAATTAATGAAAATTAATGACACAATCAATAATTGTCAATAAAACTGATTAAAAATGACAAAGCTTCACTTGTTGACTTTTTAAGGAACAACAAATATATATAGAATTAAAAGTGAAATTTCTTTTCAATCTTTTTAACTGTGTCCTGATCCAATTTTTTAGGTTTTTGGTTTTTGTAAAAACTTTAATCTATAATATTCCTACTATTCTAAATGTCGTTAACACTTAAAACTTAAGATTCTTCAAATATTTTTTAGTTCTTTGCTGATTTTAATTTTTTATTAGTTTGTTTTTTGTGCAACCTCAGTATTTTATAATGTGGTTCCCTTCCATTTTGTCCAACACCTCATACCTTATGCTATGTAACGTTCTACTATTGTTATATGGAAATTTAAGCATTTATACAATAAAGCATCTGTTTTTCTAAGCTCCACAATATGTGGCCTTTAGTTCGATTTTGGAAAACAGGCAGAAAAACGGTAAATTTGTAAGTAAAGTAACATGACGTCGTTTCAAATTTATATTCTTCCAGAATTGAAACAAATGATAATAACTTTGGACTGTATACGTACCGAAATATGATTTAATAAGAGAAAAAAAATGTTTGGTGTGAGGTCCTGCCCGTCTTCCGTCTCAAGAAATAAACACATTTCAAACAATAACAACTTATCATATAAATAAATTAAAAGTTGAAGGATATATAATATTTTGTACGCTCTTCTTTAAACACATATATTAAGGACATTATTAGTAGTTTGGCGGTTTTTTTAAAAATTTTATATGTATATGTAGTCAATATCCATCACCCCCCTAAACTTATCGAGTAACTATCGCTCTGGTCCGGACCCTCAGAGATAGAACGAGTGGGGCGAAATCATGTCCTCCGCTTTGAGGTTCTTAACGTTCCGGTGGTAAATGCTCTTGTGGTTCCTTAAGGAATTTAGGCTGCTGTAGACCCTCTTGCAGATGTTGCACACGGGTTCACGGGAGGGTCTCATATGTACGTTCTGTATGTGCCTCTTGAGCCTAGTTAGGGAACTCAGGCTTTTGTTGCAGGGTTGGCATCGAAAGTCGTCCAGACCTGACGGCAGAAGAAGCCACATTAGCCTCCCTCAGCCGTGTGTGTGGTGCTCGGCAAAAGCTATGTACACGCGCGCCTGTCAATGTTCTAGGTGTCTGGCACGCCTTGCCATTTCTTTCGAGACGGTCTCAAGCGACGCGACACTACTCATGCTATATAATCATCCCTTTGTCCGCGGCAAAGCGACTCTTTCGGCACGCCCCACGTCGGGCGCCAAGCCATTTTTAAGAACGGAATTTTATTAATTCACTCCCTCAGTCGAATCAAATAATTTTCGTGTTATTATTTTCATAACAATGTTTTCGGAAACTATAACCTCATTAAAATTACAAATTATAAGTCTGTTACGATTTTTTAGGTGTCAATTTTTGAATTATCAATTCTATGATCTGAAATCTAATAACACGACGCTACTCTACACCCCTACGACTACCGCAACTTTTTTGTTAAAATTATTACATTATTGAAGATTAAAATTCAAGGAAAAATGTAAACAGTTCTCGCAAAAGTGCAAATCGTCAATTTTTCGGACGTCAGAAAAAATTTAAAACATAAATTAAGTAATTGAATTTAATAAAATTATATACACACTTGCGTTTTGTAAATGTATATGTACGCTTTATAAGATTTACAAATGAATAGACCTTTATAGACTGCTCCTGTCTGTATTCCTGTACAGACAGAGGCATTCTGAGGGGTGTAGAAAAGAGAAATTAATATTTTTTAAACTCTATTTTAAAGGTGTTAAGGTAATTCAAACAAATTTATTATTTTGACCCTACAGGTATATAACTACTACTACCACAGCAATACCTAATAAATAGCTAGCAGGAAATAATTCTCCAAAATAAGAACTAACGTGTCATGTTCAAAGCTATTGTTTCAATGTAATTTTCTTTAAAAGTTTGATGTTATATAATTTTTTACCGTTAATATTTATTAATTTCATATGAGAATGGAAGCTACCTGGTGAAACAATCCTGATTAACAATTTAGTCAATATATCATATATATGTGTTAATTATATTTAGATGTCTCCTTTTTAGTTTTTATTTTGGATAACAATTTGGCAGGTATTGTTGTTCAATACTTGTAGGGGCATATGAGTAAATAAATAAGAGGATTTTATTCTGTACCTTCTGTCAGTAGCAGCGGCAGAGTGCGCCATCTATAGCTGGTGCGGCAAACGACACACGAAAACCACATACCATAAAATAATTAAGGAAACTGCATGAAACACAATTAGAGTAACCTCTAATTCTACTGTCTAATAGATGTCGCTGTACCATAATGGCGGTAAATTTAAATGTAATAAAGTACACTAAGAAGAGTAAAAGTATTTAAGTAAGTAAGTAATAGAGCACAAAACAACTGCTAATGGTTCAAGTTGATAATTAAAATTAAGGTGAACCATTATCAGCTGTTCCATGACACTTTAAAAGGTAAAGCAGTGATTTTTAAATGTGTGACAAATATGTAGATTC